TAATAGCTGGGAATTAAATCCCATCATGAGAGGTTAATATAAAAAAAATGCACGTTTTTTTTTTACATGCACGTTAAGCACATGCAAAAGCCCAGAAAAATAGTGAATGAAGTTCGGAATGCGATTTTCGTTATTGAACAAATAAAATTAAATATCATCAGCAAGCTCTTGGTATGTCTTCAAGTGCAAATAAATTACTCATGTTATGCATAACTATAATACACACTACATATGTAACAGATCTTTCAACAATCTATGGCCATTTTGTCCACCACAGTACCTTGGTATATTAATGCAAATGTAAGTTATTTGACACAACAATTGCGTTCAACTTGCTCAAGATTATTTTGCTGAAAGTAACCCTCAATACAAAGTTTTAAATGAAGCTGATGGTTTCTTAGCCTTTTTTTTTTGTACACCCATGCATTTCTTGATGCAGAAAACACCCCTGACAGAATGAGGTGCCATTACCAAGGGTGCATCTGAACTTGCCCAAGGTACATTCCTGATGATTATCGACTCTCCTGGCATATTCCAGGACATCTTAGCTATGTATGATGACGTTTGTTCTCATCTAGACTGGCCTACAGAAATTTAGAGATCACAAAAAATATATCTGATACCGTCTTTACATGATTGTAAGTTGACTAGAATGTACGCTGATCCCCTAAAATAGCCCGAAAAAAAAAACAACAGCACTAGCACATTTCACTAAAAAACTTACGATGTCTTCAAAGAAAAAAAATCAAATTCAGGTGTACCAAGGTGGCTTCACAGCAGTGCTTAAAGTTGTGCGGAAAAGCTAGCTTCGTGGAAAGATTGGGGGGGGGGGGGGAGAGGAATCATTATTAGAAAGACTATACAAACAGAACTAGTTCTTAACTCTAGGTCGACCCCCAAATTTAGGATTTAATTATAAGGCAAATCTGTCGCCCTACAATCGTGTAAATACAGCAGATTCCATACAATGTGGGTATCATTTTTACGCCAAGCAATCCAGTCGCAACAGCCTGTGCCGCATTTTTTTTTTTTGCTTTAGGTGGTGCAGTAGGAGGTCGTTCAACATCTTCAAAGAAATTTAGCAGCTGTGCAGATATTATGTGCTTACCACACATGCCAAGACACTAGTGTGCTGAGGCGTAGCTCATGGCAAGACACAATGTTGGCACTTGCATTAGAGCAGAGATGTCTGCTTGACTGCCACACTCTGCGGGGTGATTATGGCCAGATTATACGTAGCATTTGTAGTCATAGTCACCCTACGCTTGACTATATCTTGAGGAATCACCGTAAAGTAATGTTTGTTACATTCGTTAGACGTGGATGACCAACGCCGATGGCCAATTGACTTTGTCCTGACATAACGCCTGTACAGGTTCTTCCTTTCGAGACAGTTTGAAGCACTTGTGTGACTCTGTTGTAAAATACTTCACCACCTCATACATTCGTGTAGTTAGGACAAGTTAAATTACCCCCCTTACACCCCAAAAAATGTTTTATACACGCACACACACAAACACATGCCCAAACATGCATAAAGTATGGTTTAACCACATTCCTCCTCCCGCCTCCGGCAAACATTTTTGGCAATGCAGAAGGCCACGCAGAATGCCTCAGTTTGATTCCTGCTTGAGCTCTGATTTCTCCCATCGTGATATTTAACCTCTCTATAATCCCACCGATATCAACACTGCATTTTCTATGACATGAGCTACTTCACACTGTAAGATTCAGATTATCAAAATTTGAGTTGATATATACCGAGAATAACCTGCACTGTGTGCCCACACTACATGGGCCACAATATGAAAGTCACGTGTTATTCACGCCATGACCAGAGCGCGTGCTGGTGATACTAATTTTTGTTTCCGACAACCAAATTACAGTGTGCAAGGCATCAACAGCTCAGCTGTTGAATACGATTTAATTGTATGTAAATCAAACAAAAATAGCATCGTAACACCTCAACAATGTTGCACATTTTTGACGCTTACATCATGAGAACCTATGAACCTATGCCAACCCTTGAAATTCAAGCATTTTTTGTTTAACACCAAAGCTGTTAGCCAAAATGGAAATGCCATCACATAGAGGAAACCACACCACGTCGTTGCAATAAAAACTGCCACAGCTGTGCAACACCCCGGCCTAGCTACGGCCAGACTGATGAAGAAGTTGCCGCACCTGACTGCGACAGCTGTGGTACATTCATACCGAGTCACACATACACCACACAGTAGCTGCATAGAGGCTGCGCCAAGTTTAAATTGCTGTTGCCTAGCAATCATCTGATGATGAATAGTATTTTTTGGGTAGAGATGTTGTGGCATGGGTGGCTGTTTGGTCTTGTCGGTTTGACATGATGCAGGGTGAAAGGGTAAAAAACGAGGAGAGAGAGAAGAGGTTCGACACACACGGGTGCTGCAAGACAATGATGACGAGGACCGATATGATTGAAAAATGGCTATGAAATTTTGCGTTAGAAAATAAAGAGTCCTGTGAATGCGTATGGGAAGGGGTTCAGCTTGCACTGACAGCGCGAGATTTGAAGTGGTGAAGCTGGCCGATCAATTGGCCATAATGAGTTAAGAAAAAGCCTCGCGTGAAGCAAGCTCAGATTTTGTGCCAGCCAAGTTCGCACCTTGTCAATGTCAAGACTAGAACAAGAAGACGAGCTCAAGCCTATTGTGAACATACTTAATATCTAGCACCAACTATGAAACTCCATCCAATCGGCAAACTTTGTTGTGCCAAGTTTTGCATGGCCAGTGCAAGCTTCTGTATTATTTTTTAAATGTATTCACCTACAACGAAGGAAACGAGATGCATCACTTGTAGACTCTGGCTCCTCAACTCATTGCTTTCCCTAACGCCACATTTTCTTCCCTTCTTTATTCCTCGTTATACAGTGGACTCCTCTTAAACGGAACTCGAAGGGGCAAGAAAATTTGTTCTATTTATGAGAACTTTCATTTAAGCAAAGCCCACAAAATGAATGAAATATGACTATTTCAAAAGCACCAACTGTGGCTGACTGAAAAAAAAAACATTTTGAAGTATACAATACTACTATAGTTGATTAAAAAAACTTTGCTAATATTACTGACTGGGGAAAAAAAGGTGATAACACTTTGTTCAACCATTTTTTCCCAAAGTAAGAGTGCATGGCCAAAAGGCTAGGCAGGAAATCTGTGCCACCATCGTGTTCAAAGTAGCGCTGCAACAAGATGACAGCATCTCTTGCGGCACTGCCCACCACTGCAATGGGCTCAAGATCACACACCATCTCATCACCACTGGAGCACGGGTCTTCATCTTGAACTTCAGCAATAAGTTCCTCAAGACTGTCCTCGCGGCATGTGGCGTCATTTTCATCGTGATTCATAGTCCACTCGTGTGAAAGAAGTAGACTGTGTCACCCGAGTGAAGAGAATGTCAGCCTCCTCAGCTTCGGCAACGTTGTCTTCGTCATCTGTAAGGACTTCTTGTCTTGAAAATCCTGCATGGTGGGAGCACCTTTGCACAGTGGACACTTTCACGCATTACGAGGCATTGGTTAGAATGTGAAGAGCTTAGAGCAAGTCCACATTGTAATCTTTGCTGTCTGCACAAAGAAGCATTCGCTGGAGAACTTGGTAGTGGCAGAGAACCTTCAACTTTTGAATTATGGCCTGGTCCATCAGTTGAATTATTGCAGTCGCATTTCGTGGCAGGAACTCCAGGCTGATTGATTTGAGTCTATCGACTTGACCGTGAGCAGGGCATTGATCAACAATAAGAATAACCTTCCTGTTATGTTGGGTAAATCATCTACCCTCTTCGCGTGACCATGTTTCGAAGATTCCTTGTGTCATCCAAGCTTTCCCGTTCGCGTGGTACGTGACAGGGAGCGTGCGCACACCTTTAAAGCAGCGTAGGTGCTTTGATTTCCCCACGACTAACATCTTCAACTTTTCGCTGCCGTCCATAATGGCACCAACTAGCACGGTAATATGATCTTTGCTTCGCTTTCCTCCCACACAGGTTTTGCCCTTGTAAATAAGAGTCTTAGAAAGAAGTGCTTCGTAAAATAACTCCATTTCATCAACATTAAACATGTCCTGTTGATCGTAGGCTTCCAAAATGTCTTGCAACCTCCCGTGTTGCTAGTGACCACAAATATCTCTATTTACAGCCACACTTTCTCTAGAAACTGTCTTAAAGACAAGACCATGCCGCTTTTTAAAACAGCTCAGCCAGCCATCGCTCACCCAGAAGTCCTCAATTCCCATTCAAGTAGCAATCTCTTTGGTCTTCTCTTCCAAAATGGGGCCGCTGATCGGGAAGTTCACACTGCGCGCTCGCTTGAACCAGAGGAAAAGACCATCTGCGATTTCTTTGTATGCCGTCGTTCTCATCCACATTCTGTCCGTAGCAAAGTTCCCAAGCTCTACAGCTTCTTCAATCTTCCTTTTATTCTTTAGTATCCTCGATATTGTGGACTAGGAAATATTGAACTTTTTCGCAATATCCATCTTCGAAAGGTCATTGCGGTGAAGTTCTTGAATGATTTTTACTTTTGTTGTGAGCGAAAGTGGATTGTGCTGCCGTTTTTTCAGTTCCATCTCAAGTGCACAAAGAGACATCAATCGATGCTCGGCGTGCGCCATGGCACGCACGAACATGTGCGATCGCTGGATTAGCTTGGCTAGGTTAGCTTCGGTATATGTTTCTTGGTTGAAGACTGCCGTGGCCACTTCCACCGTTCATGAATTTTTGCTAGTTTTAGTTTCATTTAACCGATGTAAGCAAAAAAAAAAGTTCCGATTACCCGAAATGTTTATTATATAATATATAGGAGACCAATCAAATGTGCCTAGATAGTTTCGTTTATGCGACTTTTCCGTTTACCCGAGTTTCGTTCAATGGGAGTCCACTATGTTTCAGAGAAATCTCTTCAAAAGTTGAACATTTTTTTAAAAACTACCTAATCCACAACATTCACAGAGTTCGCACAGTCGTAACTGTAATGGGATGATGACTTTAATGCAGAAACTACATGATGCTACAATCTGCACTGTACAATGCAACATCACTTTTACAACTTGAAAGAACACATGACTGGGCATGATGAAAACTCGCAGTAACCTTTTTTTTATCACACTGTAGTAAGCAGGATGATTGAAGTGTTCTCGCATACGGCACTAGTATACGTAGGGGCGCGTCCATACGCTGTTCATCCCAAGTTTTTCAGTGCGCTGAAAAGGTTATGCATTTACGCAAAGTCTTCGTTGACTTCCCTCCAGGCACAATCACAGCAGTGGAGGCGTGAGCCGTGCTGCTATGCCATTCTCGTCCACAAGACAGGTGCCAGGTTATGGCCAGTGAAAAGAACGGATTCTCTGGATCCTTTTCCAGGCCCAAGTTACATGGCTGTTCACTCGTCCACGGCCCTGAAGGAAATTTAAAAACGGGAATACCAGTGAGCAAGAAGTCAATCTCTTTTTTTTAAGTGAACATGAAGGCTAGGCAAACGATATATCATTGTAAATACGTAGGGTAGCATACAAAACAAGCATTGTTCATCAATCACACTCACTCAGTGTGAACATGTTAGTATATAGTATTATTGGCATTAGTGTTGCAGTGAAGTGCAGTCCCACGAGTTGACTGACTATGTACAGTGTAGGAATGTCTGTTTACATAGTGAAATTCCTTGACTGACACAAACACAAGTATTAAAGAAAAACAGGCTTAGGAAGTTTTTCAGGATAAAAACAAGGGCAATCATTCAGCTAGTACTATGGGAATAGTCCACCATGCCGGAACCGTCAAAAACAATTCACATTGCTAATAACTTAACCAACTTTGATGCAGGACAGGTTATGCGTGTGTGTGCTTTTTTTTTTTCGTCTTCCGTTCACATAAAGTAGAGATCAAATTACTGTGAAAATCACGCCAAACAGTGTAGAAGGGTGAAAATTGCTACATTTCAAAGTAAATGGCCTGATTAGCCTTGAGCATGTGCTGTTACGAATGACGGTGACGCCAACACGGTCCCGAAGGCGCCACTTCTCCGATCTCTACGGACACGGTCACCAGCCGTTTGGTAGCGTAGGTTTCTCAGCTCGCGACTGCTTCTGCGCAGAGCTGATAGACGAGCGGACAAGACGACGGCGAATTTAACAAGGTTTACGTACAGCGTAGATACAGAGGGGTTACAAATTCGCCGACAGTTTAGAGACTCGAAGAGCCAAGCTCTCTTCTCTGACACATAGGTCTACTGCTCGCGACGCCCCGCATGTCTTTTTTTATATGCACCGGGTGGATTCTTTGAGTAACCAAATGTCCAACCAGAAGCGCCGCTAGCCGTGAGGTCGGAATCCTCCAATGGGGTCGCCGCTGGGCCGCGTCATTCTCATCGAATCCAGAGCCGCTGCGCGTGGTTGCAGCCAAGGACGAGTGACGTCGCCACGCATTGCGTAAGACTCTCCAGACAGGAAGGCGCGGATTGCTTCGACGGGCTCGTGGGCTGAGGTGGCTCGCCGTGGGTGCGCGACAGTAAGGCGCCGCTGCGTGATGACGCCGTTGCGTTGTTCGTTAGGCGGGTTCACTTGCTGGCCTTGACACAGATTGCCTTTTTCAGAGGCATGGACGTTCGGTGTGGACTCGCAGGCATAACAGCACCCCCACCGCCACACAATGCGCCGGAAAGACGAGCTGCTTCCACGTGGCTCGGATGTCAGGTGCGCTCGTTCGCCAGGTCCCTCCAGGTTCGCCTCCAGGACCATGGGGAGAATGCAGCTCCAGACTCCGTTCCGGGAACACATCCCATTCTTGAGGATTGATTCCAGCTCCACTGGCTTGTCGCCACAACTTGTCGGCCAGCTTCGCTCGTCTCTCCTGACGATCTTTGGTCTCAGCACTTGTCGATGGTTCTGTAACTTGTCAAGAATGATTCGACAACAGACAACACACGACACAAGCAAGTGCCCTCGGTCACCCGACAGAACACCAGACAAAGTAATTACAACATATACCTAGCTATGTGTCTATCGGAATTTCGTTCCCTCTACATCAAGAGGCACATGTGGGACACAAGACTCTTAAAATGAGAACTGAAATTTTTTACACGTACAACACCGTAACGAAATGAAATAGAACATAAAGTTGGCTCCTTCAGCTCATTCTGGACGAGAGCGCTTAGCTAAGGCCGTGATGAGGACAAAATTTTGCCCCAAATCGCCAGCGAGAAACCGAAAGGCGGAGAAAGTACTAACTAAATGCACGGCTCAATGCGTCTGCATTAGCGTTTAGCTTTCCTTTTTTGTAGAGAACGTCAAAGTTGTACTGTTGGAATATCATGCACCACCTCAGTAACCGGCCACTTTTAGGCCACATGTTATCCAGGTTAGAGGACAGTGGTCTGTTTCAACCACAAACCTCAAACCGGAGACATAACAAGCTAGCTTTTGAACGGCCCACACGAGGCAAGCACATTCCTTTTCAGAGGTACTGTATGCCTCTTCCCTGCTGCTGAGTTTTCAACTTAAATACAAAACTGGCCTTTCGTTACCAGCACTGTCTTCCTGACACAATATAGCTCCCATGCTGCGATCACTCGCGTCACATTGAATCACAAATCTCTTAAAGAAATCGGGTGCCATGAGAACGGGCTTTTCGCTTAGGGCCTGTTTTAGCTGGCAAAACGCATTCTCCTTTTCTGAGTCCCATAACACTTTAACCGGCTCGGATTTTTGAAGTCAGTTCGAGGGCTGGAAATGCTAGAGTAGTTTTGCACGTAATGCTGATAGTATACAGCCAGGCCCAAGAATGCCCTTATTTCAAATTTTGTGGTTGATGATAATGATGATGTTTGATGTTTTGTGGCGCAAGGGCCATTTCACGGCCAAAGAGCGCCAGTTCATCTTACTAACAATATGGACAATGATTGTGATAAGCGGCTGTATAAGGGCCATAAAATTCCTCGCGGTAAGGCGGGTAAAAACATACAAGTAATAAAATCATGACCATGCCGTGAAAGGTGTGTGTGGTGTGAATAGATGACAAAAGTCTTGGTGATAATAAGAAACGATGGTGGATATGTATGGCATTAGCACAAGTGCCTCACTCGTTCATACCCTTGCGTCCAAGGGCCGTGAGGCAAGTGGTTTCTTGTGTAGCCACCCCAGCAAAAACCTCTCTGGAGAGGTCGTGCTACGGAATGCCCGGGTATATTATATATGAAAACTATGAATTTTTTTTTAAAAACGCTAACAATGATTTATGACTAAAAAGCGGTTCCCTACCGACAAACATTGCAGGGAGTAAAGGTATATGTTGTCGGTAGGGTAATGGAAAATGTTGTTTTCTTAGAGTTTCTAAATGTTTGCACTGGATTAACATGTGAAGGACTGTTAATGCTTCACCACATCTGTCACACAATGGTGGATCGCCACCGGACAAAAGATATGTGTGTGTCGTGTATGTGTGTCCTACCCCGAGTCTCGTTAGTATTACCTCGGTATGACGCGATTTCGATATGGGCAGCCAATGAACAAGGTGTGGCTTAATAATGTGTAGTTTGTTTAGTGTGTGTGTATTCCACTTGCTCTGCCAGTAATCCCGGAGGTTTCGTTTGAGAGACGGCTTAAGATCAAGGGCCGGGATTGATATGGGTGTAGGGGCAGTGCTTTTGTGGACGGATGCAGCGAGCTGATCTGCCCTCACGTTGCCTTGAATCTCACGGTGCCCTGGCACCCAGCACACTACAACATGTTGTTTGAGTGTGTAGAGTGTGCACAAAATAAATTAAAGTGAGACAAGGACTGGGTTTTTTTTGTTTTTTAAGAGTGTGCAGAGCTGTTACCACACTGAGGGAGTCCGTATAAATTACATCTTTTTGTATTTGTAATTGCTTGATGTGTTTAGCCGCCACAAGTATCGCATAAGCTTCCGCTGTGAAGATACTTGTGCCTGGATGTAGAGGGCCAGCATCTGAAAAGGATGGGCCGACAGCAGCGTAGGAAACAGAGGAGTTAAACTTGGGGGCATCTGTAAAGAACTCAGGACGTGTGTATTTGTGTTGAAGTTCCAGGAAGTATGTTCGGATATGGGCAATAGGCGCATGTTTTGTAACTTCTAGAAAAGACACATCGCAATCTATAGCCTGCCATTGCCACGGTGGCGGGTATGCTACAGGAGCCATTAAACTGTGTTCAAGTGAGACTCCAGTTTCCTCAGCTAGACTCTTCAGGTGAACTGAGAAGGGCTGCCTCATCGAAGGCCTGTTTTGAAACAGAATTGAGCTCGACAAATCATTAATAGTAGAGCATGAGGGGTGCTTCTTGTCTGCTTTCACCTTAAGGAAATAAACAAAGGACATGTAAGTTCTCTGCAGATGAAGCGACCACTCATTTGACTCAGCATAAAGGCTTTCTATGGGGCTGGTGCGAAAAGCACCCGTAGAAAGGCGGATACCCAAATGGTGCATGGGGTCCAGCATCTTCAGAGCACTTTGAGTCGCAGACTGATAAACAACGGCCCCATTATCTAAGCGGGTGCGAATGAGGCCTCTATACAGGTTCATGAGACATTGCCTGTCACTACCCCACGTAGTACGTGACAACATTTTTAAAACATTCATGGCTTTTAAACATTTTATTTTTAGATACTTGATGTGCGGTACGAAGATCAACTTGTTGTCCAATATTAATCCTTAGAATTTATGGTCCGCATTAACAGACAGACGTTGACCGTTCAGTTCAATGTCGGGTTCTGAGTGCATGCCTCTCTTTCGGGAGAACAAGACACGTGCTTTTTTGTGTGTTCAGTCGGAATCCATTTTCCTCTGCCCATTTAGAGACCTTGTTTAAACCTAACTGAACCTGCCGCTCACACATTGCCCGATTGCAAGATCTAAAGCCAAGCTGGACGTCATCGACTTATGTACAATAAAACATATTGCGAGGAATGGACAAGCGCAAGGAATTCATTTTGATGAGAAAAAGTGTGCAGCTAAGTACACCACCTTGTGGCACGCCTGTTTCCTGGACAAATGTTTGGGAAAGAACCGTGCCCACTCGGACACGGAATGTCCGGTTTGACAGGTAACTTTCGATTATGTGAAACATTCTTCCGCGCACGCCAAGGTGGGACAGGTCTCTTAGAATTCCAAAACACCATGTTGTATCATAAGCCTTTTCGATATCACAGATCGGGCGTCCCTGATCTGTGCCTCGATACGAACAAGGTGGTCTGTGGTGGATCTACTTTCTCGAAACCCGCACTGAAATGGGACGAGCATATTGTTTGTTTCAAGGAAATGTACAAGTCTGCAGTTTATCATTTTTTCGAAGACTTTGCGCAAGCAGCTTGTAAGTGCAATAGGCCTATAACTCGAAGGTAAAGAAGGGTCCTTGCCCTCTTTGGAAATGGGAATAATAATAGCCTC